TTTATGCATTTAGCAGATGCTTTTATCCAAAGCGACGTACAGTGCATTCAGGCTAATTTTTACATACAGGTTTCTGGAGTTCATCTGCCGAGCGTCGGACAATCGAGCGCCTCACATATTGCACTTACGAATGATACTGTCATGAACTGTTATGATCATTTATGGTATTTCTGGAGCTTTACAACCCGTCTTCACTTTTACTGCATGGAAAAGCGCACACTGGTTGATCTTGACTCTGGCTCTAACCCGATCTCATTATAGTGCGTTTCAATGGCACGATTTTCTGTTTCTATTTGGCGTAGTATTTATACGCAGAAATTGACTTCGGCGTGCATATGATACGCAATGGCCAGGATTAGGGGTAGGTGCGTGTTATATGTCGGTCTATGCCAAAAGTCGTATAATTAATAATAATTATAATGAATGCATTTATCAGACGCTTTTATCCAAAGCGACTTACAGTGCATTCAGACTACACATTTTTTACCAGCATGTGTGTTCCCTTCGACCTTTTGCGCTGCTAACGCAATGCTCTACCACTGAGCCACATATACAAATATCATATGTATCATATGCACGCCAACAAACTGCGTATTATATGCATGTCAAACACGTGCGTATCATATGCACACCAGTCAGTTTCTGCATATAAATAGCACGCAAAATACAAAAATAAAATCGTGCTATTGATTTGCATTTTCTTGAGACCGGGCTCTGATTCTCGCGCACCACCTTTTGACGGACGTGATGACGGAGAATTTGCGCCCGAGTTTAGCGCAGCGCAGCCTCTGAAGCGTGTCCGGCATCGCCTCTCTGAAAGAGAGAGAGAGAGAGAGAGAGAGAGAGACAGAGAGAGAGACAGAGAGAGTTAGTTCAGATTCTTCTTCGTTAGATGACAGTCTTTATCTCGCACACACACCTCGTTATCACAGCATCTCCGAGTAGTCAAATCTTAATAAATCATCTGCTTAAGCCTGCGGGGGTTTTTTTACGTAAGGAAGTTCCTGGACTGTTTGAATGAATATTGATTTAGGAACATATCCATATGCAAATTACAACAAAGCTATATTTTATTGATGTTGAACATGACACTCAAAAGCATCACTGCAGAAAATGCAGGAAAAAAGTTCATATTTGCCTACAGAACGACATCAGATGCAATCAAGATCAAAATCATCAAAAAACTAACAAGAGGCATGTAATTTACAGCGGTCCAAAACGAATGTCTGAAGTCACATTGACTAAGAAAGATAAACACATATTTAAAGTAGTGGTCGGAAATGCAAATAGTGTGCTGTACATGAAACATGACTTTGTTTGTGGTTAGTGAATCATTTTCAAGTCGTTCCTCTGCTAGAGCACCTGTATGAATTCAGGTAAAATTTATGTGCTTTTCATACTTTGTTTTTCTTTACCGAACCCTAACCCTTGATTTTTATTTTTATTTGTAATTTTTCCTTTATAAAATGTTTTGCAATATTATAATTTACAGAAAGCACTGTTGGGGCTGGTAGATTTATGAGGCTGCTGCTAAAAAGTCACTTAATAAAATCTCCCATTAATCGCCAAAGGTGACTTTATACATCCACAAAAATGAAAAAAAAAAAAAAACTCTCTTATTGACATTTAAATAAAATCGCCGCGGACATGATTTTGAGCGATTTAAGACCGTTTTGAACTGGGTGTTTGAAACCAACTTCGCAAATACATTTGAAAAATGAAATACGTAATTAGAGAGTTGTGTTTCATCATACCAGGCGTTTTCACACGCGATTTAAAATACTTCAGGGAAACATTAAGAGATAAAAATCTAAATTGACACACGTGCGTTTCTTAAACGGCACCGTCGTTCACAATGACAAGAAGAATGATTATTATTATCATATTAGAGTCATGGAAAATTTAAATATACTGCATTCACTTATATTCTGCATCTTAGGCTTAGTTATTTCTTCAAAGTAGAGCACTTATTAAATTACATTTTGATTTTCAGAGGGAAAACATCGCAGTGACTCGCAGAATGATATGACTGATGATCAGAGAAGAAGCTGAAGAGTTCATGCGCTCACCTGGATGAGTGTGTGTCAGCTGTGTAATAAAATATCACACACACACTGTGAGAAACGACCAGGAGCGTCAGGAGCCTAAAGATCCACCGGAGAAATGCCAATGCCATCACTGGAGCGAGTGTGTGCGTGTCTGTGATGGAGAACATAAAAATGACACACACACACACTCACACACACACACACACACACATATATACGCACATGTCAATAACTCCGCCCCTCTCTTCTGATTAAACTCATCACTACTCATAAATGTCATTAAGTGACTGACAGTCTGGTGTGACGCCAATGAAGAACAACTAACCTGTGACATGCGGAGTCCCACAAGGCTCAATCCTTCCACCGCTCTTGTTTAGCCTGTATATGCTCCCACTAAGTCAAATAATGAGAAAGAACCAAATTGCCTATCACAGCTATGCTGATGATGCCCAGATTTACCTAGCCTTATCTCCAAATGACTACAGCCCCATTGACTCCCTCTGCCAATGCATTGATGAAATTAACAGTTGGATGTGCGAGAACTTTCTTCAGTTAAACAAGGAAAAAACTGAAGCCATTGCATTTGGAAACAAAGATGAAGTTCTCAAGGTGAATGCATACCTTGACTCTAGGGGTCTAACAACTAAAACTCGAGTCAGGAATCTTGGTGTGATTCTGGAGACAGACCTTAGTTTCAGTAGTCACGTCAAAGTAGTAACTAAATCAGCATACTATCATCTCAAAAACATACAAGAAGACCATTAGAAAGTCATTTTTACCCTCCTGTAATTTGGCTCCAAATCTCAGGTGAAAACTGACACTCAGTCATTAGTTTCATAAGGATTCCCGATTAAATCTGACGAGTTTTCCTACCTTGCAAAAGCAGCACTGTTTACCTAAGGAGGGAAAAGTCACTAAACCTCATTAAAATTTAATGACAAGAGGGAATAAGTTTTGTGTGATTCAACATTGTTCAATATTTGTGTCTGCAGTGACTAATTTAAACTTCACTGATCATGCACATCATATTAATGTGATTTCATTCAATTGCTATCATAAGATAATTTAACTGCTCAATTTGTGCTTTAAATTACATACGATTCTGGAAAAATTATAAAGAATCTACTTTTATAACTTAAAGTAATAATAGAGTGAATGACACCAGCTTCTGTTTCCAATATTTATTTCCAAAAGGCAACAAATAATTTAAAGCGATTTGTACAAAGCTCGAGTACAAAAGCTAATTGAGGACTAAAGCTCTTTAAAAAACATCTGTGATTCAATTATTCTATGAAGTCAAGTAAAAATACTCTTCCGATCCGCTCATATGTAACATCTCGTTTGTTAATTTACAGAGAAACAAACACACACACAGACAGACAGACAGAGTTCACGTGAGCTTCAAGGGTCAACGAATGACACCATGATGTATCGTGTTCCTTGTGTGACGGGAAGCCCCTCGTGATAGTGCGTCAGACGGCCCGGATGCATGAACGACCAGCCCTTCCTGGGAGACTCGACCGTACAGTCGTAACGCAGGAACCGACAGCCTCCGCCCTGATACACACACACACACACACACACATACATGTTTACTTAGCTATCTAAATGTGGACATTCTATAGGCGTAATGGTTTTCATACTGTACAAACTGTATTTTCTATCGCCCTACACAAACAGTACACCTAACCCTACCCCTTACAGGAAACTTTCTGCATTTTTACAATTTAAAAAAACTTTGTTTGCTTTACAAATGAGGACGTCCCCAAAAGAAGGTTTTTGGAGATTTTGTCAGGTTTAGCTCACTTTTGGTTACAAATTTCTCCACAAAATATGGTTAAGTAGGTACACACACACACAGAAACAAAGACACACACAAACACACACCGAGACAGAGACACACACACACACACTCGCGCGCGCGCGCGCACACACACACACACACATAAACGACGATCGATCATGGAAATGATCGGAAATTGACATCCCTAGTAGTGACCGACTGAAAGGGAACTAATGTTTTCAAATAGAACAGTTTATTGAATCTTTAGACAAATATTAAAGAAAATTTAAAAGCAAAAGTTTACGAATGTGTTTTATGTTTAATCTTCAGTCAATCAGGCTTTTATGGCTCATGTAGTATGATATAGTGAGAATATGAAGGAAAAACGGTTCAGTTTTATTCAGAGACTCAAACTGAGCAAAAATATGAATTTGCTTCAGATGCTGATATTTGATGAGATTCTGCTGCTTGTGATGTAAATCAACGAGATGTTTATAACAGTGCAGCAGATACTGATATTAAATGCTATAAATATCAGTCGTCGCTCTATATCTCCAGTAATCTGTGTCAGTAAGATGAGATTGAAATGCTCCAAACATGTAATGCAGTGATTGAGAGCTGAAGAAATAAAGGCTCCTCAGAAGATGTGAGATGTTCTGGAGGCTTGTGAAGATCATTCCTCCGCTGAGGAACAGTGAAAGTAAAGCTTCTGGAAACAAACGCTCCTCAAAAGATCTAAAATGATCTAAATATCAGTGGTCGCTCTATATCTCCAGTAATCTGTCTCAGTGAGATGAGATTGAAATGATCCAAACATATAATGCAGTGATTGAGAGCTAAAGAAATAAGATCCTGAGGATCAGATTTGAGACTCTAAAACATGATTGATGGAGAATCAAGTAAAGCTGAGCTGCTTCAGTCCAGTAAGTGTTCATCTGGAGATATTACTGCAGTTATTCTTGATAACAAAATCAGTCAAGATTTGACACGAGAAGCTCCAGCTGAAGCTGGAAGTTTGTACAATTACACTAAAAGAGA